CTACACTTTCTCTCTCTTGAGCTCAGCACTGACTTAAGCATCGGAGGCCCGACGCCGGGGCCACCCCCGGCGTTGGGTTCTGCAGGTACGGAGGCCGGTTCGAGTTGAAGGAGCCCGAGTGAAACTTATTCACTTCAAAATTATATCACTATGTTTCATGTGTTAGGTCTTTGTCTCATGTGTTTCCTATTAGTCGTTCTGATTGACTTAATTATTTTGGTGTGGAGTACTATAAGAATATTATTATAATTATCTTTCAAAAATCATTATAATCCGTTACAACTCATACTTATATGTGAAGCGGAATAGCAAAATTGTAATATACAATGAATCTAAAAGCATATTACTTTACTTGCTGCAAACATTTACAACGCCCAACTCAAGTTAAACGGGTCAGCCCTAGCGGGTTTCGGGCTAGCCCTAACGGGCTTCGGTTTAAATGGTTCGGGTCTAAAAACACCTGATTTAAATGGGCTACCAATAAAAAGCCCTAACCCCTGTTTTTTTCCGGGCTAAACGGGCTGGCCCGTCGGGCCAAGGACTGTTTAACATCTCTATGTATTGTGCGTCTAAGATTTTTTCAGTTTTAATGTTTTTTTGATTTAATTTGATGAAAAAATTGATATTGTTGAATATTATGCTAAAATCATTCATGCATTTATTGTTTATGTATATTGTGTCTATGAATTATTTCTATGCTAAATTATTTGAAGAATACGCTAAAATCATGCATGTGTACTTACTATGTATTATGTGTCAATTAAAATTGATCAGCTTGGAATGTTTGCAATTATGGTATAGATGAATTTATATTTTAGTTTTGAATTTATACGGATTTTTTAAAAAGGCAGCTTGCATGACATTGTCTTTTAATATTTAGGCTGGAAGTATATTATATAAACTAGTACAGTACCTGTGCGATGCACAGGGTTTATTATTTACGTCCCTTTTAAAAAGCAATTTTCAGTTAAAATTCAAAGTACCTACTAAAAGAAAGATCATATAATTAATAATTAAGAAATTAATAAATATAATAAAAGTAAAATTTATATATTACTTAATATTGTCTTATATACAACGTTCATGGTTTGATTATTTGGCACACCATCGTCGCCACAAATTAGGATTTTCAAATCATTTATGTTTGTGACACGGGAGACAACAACAGACAACTGGCCATCTGGTTTTTTAAGAAATAAGCCCACATACAAATGATTGTCCCTGCTCTTATTTATAGTCATGACATAATAAACCATAATGGAAAACTACCAACGTTGGATTTTGAAAGGAATTCTAACATCAGAAGGAGTTATAGCCATTCTTGAAATTAACAAATTATCACCTGCGTGATCGCCAGTGAATATCTTACACCTGAGAACGTGAGTGAAGAACTTTGTCACAACCAATCGTGTCCCATTACAAACCCATAGAAGAGGTATAGTTACAAAATATCAACTTAAAAAAGATCGGATTAGCATAAAAAATAAGATCATGCTTATCAATGTGACATAATGTATACCAAAATAAATAGAGTTTGTTACAATTTAATTTAGTTAGGCTTTGTGGGTTGATTGAAAAATAATATTTTTTTATATATGTATCATTTATAAAATATCGAGATTTTTTATGTAATATTTAACTCCAAATAATCCGAAAAAAGTGTAAAATTTGTTACCAAAAGAAATTCCAATAATTATCGGCAATATATTGTGTGTAAATAACTATGAAGTGTGTTACAAAAATAATAATATATTAAAAATTTTGTTATCAAAATTTGAGATTTGTTATCACAATCAAATCAAATTTATTAACAAAATTCGAGATTTGTTATCAAAATATGATCAATTTGTTGCCAAAATATGAGATTTATTATCAAAATTCGATCAATTTTTTTACCAATATCCGTTAAATTAGTTGACATGTGGGGACCATTGATAATGTTTATATTAGTAAGTCAACAATTAATCTTTGATTTTAAAGATTATATGTCATATCAATGTGACATAATGTTTATCAAATTAACGGAGTTTGTTATAATTTAATTTGGTAAATTTTTTTGCATTGATTGAAAAATACTATTTTTATTTTGATATATATCATCAAATCTCGAGATTGTTTTGGAGTATTTAACTCCAAACAATCTGAAAAAAAAAAATGTGAAATTTGTTACCAAAATAAATCCCAAGATTATCGGCATTATATTGTATGTAAATAACTATGAAGCGTGTTACCAAAAAAATCAATATTTTAAAAGATTTGTTATCAAAATCCGAGATTTGTTATCACAATCAATTCGAATTTGTTAACAAAATCTGAGATTTGTTATCAAAATTACCAAAATCTGATTAAATTGGTTGACATATGAGGCCCATTGATATTGCTTATATTAGTAAGTCAACAATTACTTTTTACTTTTTTATTTTGAAGATTATGTGCCATATCAATTTGCCAAAATTAATGGAACCTGTTACAATTTAATTTGGTAAGACTTTTTGGATTGATTGAAAAATAATATTTTTATTTTGATATGTATCATTTATCATATCTCGTGATTTTTTCTGCAATATTTAACTCCAAACAATCCGAAAAAATTGTGAAATTTGTTACCAAAAAGAAAATCCTAAAGTTTATCGGCAATATTGTGTGTAAATAACTATAAAGTGTGTTACCAAAAAAACTAATATATTAAAAGTTTTTTATCAAAATTCGGGATTTGTTATCACAATAAGATCAAATTTGTTAACAAAACAGAGATTTGTTATAAAAAAAATATCAAATTGGTTACCGAAATCCGAGATTTGTTGTCAAAATCCTATCAAATTTGTTACCAAAAATTCGATTAAAATAGTTGACATGTGGGGCCCATTGATAATGATTATCTTAGTAAATCAACAATTAATCATTTATTTGGAAGATTATGTGTCATATCAATGTGACATAAAGTTTACCAAAATTAATGGAGTTTGAACAATTTAATTTGGTAAGGTTTTTGTATTGATGGAAAAATAATATTTTTAATTTGATATGTATCATTTATCAAATTTCGAGATTTTTTCTACAATATTTAACTCCAAACAATCCAAAAAATTGTGAAATTTGTTACCAAAAGAAATTCTAAAGATTATCGGCAATAATTGTGTGTAAATAACTATGAATTGTGTTAGAAAAAAAAACATATATATTAAAAATTTTGTTATCAAAATCCAAGATTTGTTATCAAAATAAGATCAAATTTGTTATCAAAATCCGAGATTTGTTATCAAAATCCGATCAAATTTGTTACAAAGTTCGAGATTTGTTATCACAATCGGATTGAATTTGTTAACAGAATCTGAGATTTGTTATCAGAATAAGATCAAATTTGTTACCAAACTCCGAGAATTGTTATCAATTTTAAGATTATATGTCATATCAATTTGACATAATATTTACCAGTATTAATGGAGTTTGTTACAATTCAATTTGGTAACACTTTTTGGATTGATCGAAAAATAATATTTTTATTTTGATATGCATCATTTATCAAATTTCGAGATTTATTCTGCAATATTTAACTCCAAATAATCTGAAAAAATTGTGAAATTTGTTACTGAAAGAAAATCCCAAATATTATTAACAATATAGTGTGTGTAAATAACTATGAAGTGTGTTACCAAAAAATTCGACATATTAAAATATTTGTTATCAAAATCCGATATTTTTATCTCAATCAGATCAAATTTGTTAACAGAATCCGAGAATTGTTATCAAAATTAGATCAAATTTGTTACCAAAATCTGAGATTTACAATCAAAATTCAATCAAAGTTGTTACCAAAATCTGATTCATTACCTACTTTCTTTTTAAAAAGTAATTTTGTATTTAATTCATCTAATAAAATAGTCATCTTACCAACAAAAATAGTAAGAAAAGAAAATATAATATAATATTGTACACTTGTTTATATACAAAATAAGAATGTATCATGCATTTAAATAAACAAAGTAAAATTAATATTTTGTTTCGAAGAAAAAAAAAATTTATACGTATTGTGCCGAATTCAAAATGATAAGATTGGTTTAATTGATTCTAACATAACATCTAGCACAAAATCCGTTGCATGATTTATCATATCCAACCTATTTTTTGAAATGAGAGATTAATTAATTACTTAATCAAATTATATTATTATTATGCGTGGGCCCACTAAATTTACTTAAATTAGTAAGTCAAAACATTATTTTTCAAGTCAACCTTACTATTTTTGTATTTTTCCAACAACCTCTTTATATTACTATAGATTAGAATTTTTAATACAAATTTGCTTCCACCAGCCAATGGGTGAAATATTTAATCTAACAGTACTATGGCATTAGGCTGCGAACATGATACATATTGGATTTGAGCTGAATCTTTAAATATTTTTAGATTGAAATATACGGCATTGTTATTGAGTAATTGGATGACTCGACTTATGGAGTCATCCACATTTATTCACCAATAGTGTATTGACAGGTATCCTGCAATAAATAAACTTTGGATATGTGTCAATACATTAAGTGGTGGATGACTCCATAAGAAAATCATCCGATGGCTCATATAATTTTTGTGGATCTAAAAAATAAGTAAAAGAAAACGATATTTTCTGTGGAATTGATTACAGAAAAAAAAAATAAAAAAAAATATAAAATTTGGTGTTGTAACTGTTTTAGGAGGGAAAACGAAATAATAAAATTTAATGTTGCTAGTGTTCTAGGAGGGAAAACGAAAATAATAAAATTAAATGCCACGTCAACATCCCGGTTAAATATACAGTTGAAGTTGGTCAGAGGACCAAAATTCTAAATTCTTTTTTTTTTTTTCAGATAATGGATCAAAACAAAAATGGACAATTTGATTAAATCCAAAATGGAGGTCAGATAATATAGAAGGACCAAAAAACCTTGTTTTATCCTCAATATTATGATGCACGCAACAAGTAAACTACACGTCCCTTAGCTTGAAAGACCTTTATAAGTTTATTATGGCTTCACCTCCTCAACTGCATTTTGGATCGTAACGACATGTTCAATATTCTCACCAATGTGAAGAATGTGTTCGACCAATGGGATTCTTCGAATTCCAAGTCGATCCACGACGCTCAAATGCCTGCATGCATCGATTTTGAATCTAATGCGTTTTTTTCTTCCTTTAAGGACATGAACTTTCTCAAATGCAACTAGATTTTTCACAACCCCATTTGTAGAGGCAAAAACCATTATTGTGTCGTGCCCATCCATTTGCCCTTGGTTCTCTACATCAACTTCTAATGCTAAAGATAAAGTGTCACATTTTACCCTAGAAACCCTAATAGCTTTACTTGATAGGGTCGTGTTGTTGATAGCTTTCGTACTTTTTATTAGTGGGATGGAAATTTTTGTTGGGCCGTGGGCTATCGTGCGCTTGAAGTTAGTGAAAGTTAGCCCGTATCCAAATGGGAATACGATCGTGCCATTGTAAAATCTGTAAGTTCGGCCAGGATAGCTTCTTTTCGAATCAGGATGCATGTTCATGTCACTCATTGCCACTTTGTCTACATAGTCTTGAGGATACCATGTCATGGGCAACTTCCCTCCTGAAAATACAATGCAAAATTTTTAATGTCATAACATTTTTTTTCTCTTATATATGTAATATTTGTGAATTTAGTTAAACCTCTTAGCACGTTTTTTTTTTTTTTTTGTTCTTATATACCTGGATTGATTTTTCCAAATAAAACGGCTGCAATTGCCATTCCACCAGACTGACCCGGATACCCAGCCCACAAAATGGCTCCAATATTGGAGTTGTTTTTGGCGAACGAGATATCAATAGGGCCACCAGACATCACGACAAGTATTACGGGCGTTTTTGAAGCACCGGCCACCCTTGATACAAGCTCCTGTTGGCGGCCCGGTAGTAACAGCCCAATCCTATCCAAGCCTTCACGTTCGATGGCTTGGCTGAGGCCCATAAATAGGATTGTGACATCAGCATTTCGAGCAGCCTTCTCAGCTCGATCGAATTCCTCGTTCATGGTGCAAGTGACGTCAGTGCATCCCATTTCATGAACAATTATGGTGTTTTTATCAACATAATCCGATATTCCTTGTAAAGGATTAATGTAGTCACATGGAATTCCTGGATAAATAAGAAACAACGATAATTGAAATTAAAAATGTGTGTTTTCTATTTTCGTCAAGTACGTTATCGAAACCAATAATTTGAAGAGATAATTTTAAAATTTGAGTTTTTTTTATTAGAGTAAAAAATGAATTTTTCATTCAACATTTGATCCAATTTTAGTTGAAAAAAAAAAAATGATGATTATCATATGATATAAATGATTTATACCAGCATAGTTGCCTATCATGGTATTCGTGGCATTTGAGTTGGGCCCAATAACGGCAACAGATCGAAGCCTGCCAGCGGATAGTGGTAAAAGTTGATTATTATTTTTTAGCAGAACAATGCCTTGTTGGGCTGCTTCAAGTGCCAATTTTTTATGATCCTTTGTGCATACGTGTTTTGGACCCAAATAACCATATCGCTGGTATGGGCCATCAAACATACCCAAGCGCATTTGGACTGTAAGTAAATGGGCCAAGGCCACGTTCACATGGCTCTCACTTAGTTTTCCCTCTCCTACTGCTGCTTCTGTGTGGTTCGTAAGGAAAGACCCACAATTCAAGTCCAAACCTACATTTATTAGGAAAATAAAATGGTTATGTCGAAATTATCTTAATTTGCAGATTATTATTTTTTTATGCCATTAACTGTTATTTTTATAAATGAGTATTGATAGAAGAATTTATCTGATAGATACATTAATAAATTTAAATTATATATATAATATTTTTGTGAAGTTGAAAATTATTTATGTTAAAATCATATAAATGAGTTATATATTAGAACAATATATTATTTGTGGAATAATATTTTTAATTCATGTAATATTTCGATATGGTGTGTACTACTAAATGGCAATAAAATATATAGATAATTTGAGTTTGCAGTTGTACCAAAATATTAATTTGAAAAGATATACCTAAACTAATTATTGTAAGATAATTTAAAAATGTTATTAAATTAAACCATTTTTTGCCTAATATATCTGAAGCCAGTGGCAAACCGACCAAAATGTAGCGGAGTAAAATGCAGTGCGAACTATTTGAAACTGAACTTGACTTAGACTTCGCTCTATTCTAGAGTAGATCGAGCTCCACACTAGAATTAAGACAAAGTGTTGGAAACGATCTGGTTTCCTATGTACGTACGAACCTGATCTAATGGCAAGAGCTGCTGCATCTTCCGGCGTGCTTGTATATTTTTGTTGTCTATAGAAAACATCCACGGAATCACAGTCGGAGACAATGTACCTATTTTAAGCCCCATAAATCGGGAAGAAATAAATACCCCTTTAGAATTTCAATTTTCATCGTATGGTTTCATCGTATGGTAACTTAGTCGTTTTTTAGGAATATAAAATATCATTTACCCTTTAAGTTTCCACTTTTTTCGAATGGTGTCCATAAGGAGATCGGGGTCGGCACAGGTGGGCTTGCCATTGACCTGATTGTAAGAGCACATTATGCTTGCAACTTTGCCCTCAGACACACAAGCCTTGAAAGGCACATTGTATGTTTCCTCTAAATCCTGTTTGGTTACCTGCTTAGATCACATGTACTTTTGGTAATGAATGAAGAAAATGTCATGACCAAAATTGGAATCTTATATATATACAATTAGTATTTACACGTACATTGGCATTGAAATGGTATCGGTCTACTCCTTTCCAGTTATCGATATCGTAAGCAGTAAAGTGTTTGCAACATGCAGCTACTTTCAACCCGTGTTTGGGGTTGCCCTGCAGCCCTCTCACATAGCTGGCAGCGTACTTTGCGGCCACATATGGGTCCTCACCGGGGGTCTCTTGGCCTCGGCCCCATCGTGGGTCCCGTAAAATGTTCACGTTAGGACTCCAATAGGTCAACCCGGCCTTGCCGTCGTTGTACATTGCCCTGCCTTCCGTAGATACCGCCTAAATTATATAGCTAACGTTTTACTAATAATATTCAATTTTACAAGATAAAGGGCATTGGTCCTTTGGTCACACATTCATGCACTAAAGTCTTAAATGCCAAAAAACATAGTAATTGATCGGATAACATTAGTCAACATATAGAAAAATAATAGGTAATCAAATATTGAACTCTATAATCTTTTCTAACCAATCATGCATAATTGTACCATAAGGTAACGCGTGAATATATATTAGTAGTCCTTTAGCAATATCGGCTACATTAGTAAATCTTATGAGTCAACACAACCGATACTAGAAGATCTAAAAATCGTTATAGTTAAGCTCGACTCAACTTATTTACAATTTCCACCCAGACTTGATTTTCTTCTCTAAATATTTCGGCCGAAAAAGCGAATTCTTTGACTATTAATGTACAACTAATATGTATATATAGTTTATATAACTATATCTAACCTGGCCAATCAGCATCCATAAGGTAACATTGAAAGTAGCAGCGGTGGTAATTACTTGAGGGAAGCTGGTGGCGTGGGGAATCTCGCCGTTGAATTTGACGCCGGGACCCACATTGGAAATTCCGTGCAGGGCTTCCGACCACCACTCGTAGCCCTTGATCCCCAATCTCTCCACAGGCGCCGCATTATTGACAAGCAACTTGATTTTTTCTTGCAAACTCAGTCTCCCGATTAAATCCCGTACACGGTCTCTTATATGGATGGAGTTATTGCAAAACCCGAAGGTCTTGGTCGTGGGGTTAGCCAGGTCGCAGGCGAATGGCGGCGGTTGGGACCCGCGTGTGAATAAAGATAGGTTGAGGACTAGAATGTATATATGGAAAAATGGGGCGAGTCTCGAACGCGAAAAATTGTATGCCATAGCTCAAAGATTGATCTCTCTTGACTCTCTCTATGTGCCTACTATGAATATTGTGCAAGTGAGGATAGTTGGCTAAGGTTAAGGTGAAATATATAGAAATTGAGAACTTTGACAAATTAAAACCAAGTTGTTATGAAATTATTCAAATGAAGTTGGTAGCCCTTTGAGTAACTTGAAGTTAGACATGGCCACGGGCGGCCCGGCCCGTGGCCCGACCCGTGACCCGGTACCGGCCCGGCCCGGCCCGGTACCGGTACCGGCATGAACAGTGCCGGTTTTTCGACCCGGACCGCGGCCAATCCGGTCCGGGTAAGGTTCACGGGTTTTTTCCTTTTGTCCCGGCGGGCCGGGCCGGGCCGGGCCGGGTCGCGCCGGGTCACATTGTTTTTTTTGTGGATTTTTAAGGGCCGTACCGGCCCGGAACCATCCGAGACCCGCCGGGCTGTTGAACCGGCGGTTCCGGGCCGGTTCTATGAACCGGCCCGTATGTTTCTTCGGGCCGGTTACGGGTCACAATATTGAGGCCCGCCGACCCGGCGGGCCGGGCCGGGCCGGGCCGCGGCCCGGCACCTGGCCACCTCTACTTGAAGTCTTGAACAAGGGGAAGAACAAAATGATGCATTGCATGCTTTCTTGTTTTCAAGAACTGAAATTATTGCGATTAATAACGTTATCTTTTGAATATGTTTGACATTTGATTTAATAATGAGAGAGCTAAATTATCTTTTACTATCATCACTTTTTTTTTTTTTTTACATGGATTTCCAGCTCAATGTCTTCAGTTTTGTGTGATTTGTGAAATAGAAATAATCACTACAAAAAAATTATTATATTCCAATGGAAAATCCTGTGGTAATATATTCCAATAAAAATTCAACGGATGGATATTCTAATGGTATAGTTTCCGTTTGAATGATTCCAACAGAAATTCCAACGGAAATATTCCGTTGGAATGTATTTTTCATTGGAATTTTAGATGGAATTTGATGATTCCAACGGCTATATTTTTAACGGCTTTTTACCGTAGTAATTTTCGTTGGAATATGCAATTTCTGTTGGAATTTTTGTTTCAAACCCCGTTGGAAAATCTACCGTTGCAATCGTCAAAATCCAACAGAAATTACAATGGAAAACTCATTCCAACGAAATTTTTCTGTTGGAATTTTCGTTGGAATCCATTGAAAAATTCCAACGGAAATAATAGTACATCCATTGGAATGCCGTTAGAATAATTCTATTGGAATATATTTCCATTGCAATATCATTACTTTTTTGTAGCGAATGTGAAATCTATATTTGACATTTGATCTGATAATAAGAGAGGTAAATTATCTTTTACAAGCACTTTTTAGTTACATGCATTTGCAGCTCAATATTGGGAGATGTCACGGTCCCGTTACGGAACCATTCCGTCGGAGTTTCTAATTAATCGTTAGATCAACTATTCTTGACGGTTACATGATGATCTAATGGTTACAAACCCTGATGGAATGATTCCGTAACGAGACCGTAGCATTTGGGATCTAAATTCATCATCAACATCAACATCAACATACCCAGTATATTCCCAACATGTTGGGGTCTGGGGGGTCAGTTGTACGCAGACCTTACCCTTGTAATTATACAAGGAGGCTGTTTCCATAGCGACCCAAGGTGCGTTGCGTCGTTTGATATATCTTTTTTCTAGAAACTTCACTAATAAAAGAAGCACTAGAATTTAATTGAGTCATTTTGATCTAGTCCATTATTAGCACTATGCCAGGAGAATTGTCAACAATGACTCTTCCAGCTCCATTTTGATCTAGTCCATCTAAATTCTCTGTACTTTTTTGTGTTTTATTATCTCTTTGGGATCTAGATTCTAGAGCTAGTATTAGTATAATTATTGTTGGTGCGTTGTGGTGCTTAGGTTCCTTCTCAAATGTCCTCCCATTAGATTTGACTTCTGGCCATCTTCTAGTTGTAAATCTGTGTTCCAGTTATAAAATTCCTATCGTTTCAACAAAAAAAAATCATGTTGGATTTTTTCTTGTCTTCAGAATCAAATTCGATTAATATATATATATATATATATATATATATATATATAATATTTTAAAAATTTTAATATAAAACAATTTTTTTGGCTCATTTTTCAACTAATTTTAGAAGGAAATTTGTTTCATTTTGAATAATGAGGTAGTTATTTTTTATTTATTTTATATACCATTAACTAATCATAAAGTCACACGAAATGATATATAGAACTATAAATCTACAAATTAAAAAAAAAAATATATATATTCTAAAACATGTTTTTCATACTTTTTTATTAAATTATTATTATCTTTTTTCCAGCTTATTAAGTACTTTTTTATTATAACTAATTAATTATTTTAAATGGTCATAATTTTAATCTTTTCTTGTCTAATTAATAACTAATTGGTCATGTTGACTCAAAATTACAATAATTATATTGTTGCAATTAATAGTAATTCATTATCTAACTTATGATTTTAAATATTATTTATACGCATATATAACTTATAAAATTTTATTTACATACATGCATTTTACAATAATAGTATGTTCTAATGGTTTATTAATGTATGTAATTGAATTTAACATACACGTTGACCTTTTCGATTAGGTAACAAAGTCAACATCGTGTAAGCTCATTGATAATTTCACGCGGGTATTTAATCCTATTTAGCTCCTCCATTGGCATGCAAAATCGAACATCATGAGCAAGTTCTTTGATTGCTGGCGTGGGTCATCGACACTTAAAATTAACTTCTTTTAAGTTGGTGTACGGCATTTTAAATTTTGATTAAGTTTTGTCTCACAATCGTGTCAAAGATTTGTAAGATCATTTTAGTATAGAGATCTCTTGTCGGCTTTGATTACAATTGCATTTTATTTTATTCTCTATTATTTTATAAGGAAAGTTTTAATTAAATAAAAAACTTATTTTTAATTATTTAACTCTAATTGTATTTTGTTGGTGAGTTTAGTAAATTTGGGGTGTCGTTATCAATTTGGTGAGTTTAGTAAATTTAGGGTGAGTTTAGTATCAATTTGGGGTGTCGTTATCAATTTTGTGTGGATCAGAGCTTAGCTATTATCAACATTGGGATAGCAAGAGTGTCATCTGCAAAGAAAAGATAGGTTAGAATGGGATCATGCTTACTGATGTTAAGTCCTTTCAGGGTTCCTTTTTCTTTTTCTAGTTTGAATAAATGGGAGAAGATTAATTACAGAGATCAAAATAAAGATGTAAGGTGACAGTGAGTCCCCTTGTCTTATGTCTCTAGATGGTCTAACGAAACCACATACAATCTCATTAACTTTAAAGAAAAAAGTAGAACAAACAATGCAAATTAACCATAATCCACTATACAAATTTGATGCCGAAACCCAATTTCTGCAAGATGAGCCTAACACTAGTCCACTTCACCTTGTCAAAAACGGCTTTAGCCATGTCCAATTTTAATGCCATATAGCACACTTTTCCACTTCTATGTCTATTAAGGAAATGCATGACCTCTTGAGCTATAATGACATTATCCAGAATTTCTCTATCTTTGACAAAGGCTGCCTATTGCTCAGTTATACACAGATGAAGACAATATTTTAAACTTTTGGAAAGAATTTTGTAAATGATGTTATAAACTAAACCACGAAAGTTAATGGGTCTGAAGTGAGTGACTAACTCGGGATTTTAAAGTTTGGGAATGAGAGTTATGAGAGTGTGATTGAGCCTACAACAGAAGATATAACAAGAATAAAATAAAATTGAGAATTGAACTACATAAATCAGTGGTAACAATGCTCCAGAAGAATTGAAAAAAAGTGAAGTCATACCATCCAAGCTATATGGGCTTTAGAAGGATCAATGCTGAAAAGTGTCTCCTTAATGTCCTCTTTTGTAATTGGTGCAACCAAGCTGGTGTAGAGTACCTCATAGATGTTAGACAAAGTGTGTTTTGAATTACAACGGGAACCTATGAACTGACTGAAGTTTTCAGTTCGTACAAGTAGAACTAAAACAAAATAAAAAATTACAACTCAAATGCAGACAGATTGAAAGCCGAGGCGATTGAAATCTTTCTGCAAGACAAACACACTCCGTATAGTGCTGACGGGTCTTTGCGTAATGTTCTCAAAGATACAACGACAATACACTCTGAAGCTGTAGCACACCAGCCTTCAGAGTTCCAACGAACGGATTCGAAGACGAGAACTGAGCACTATGATATGGTGCGTGAGGCTTTGAGAGTATTCAGATTGCATGAAAATGTTGTGTCTTTTTCTCTGCAGCTCTATGTCCTATTTATAGGACTTCCACATCTTGAGGGAAACCAACAGTCACATCTGCCACTTAAGGCAGAGATAATGAGCCAAAAAAAGTTTCTGGTGTTACTACACCATTAACCAGGTGTTACTACACCATTAACCAGGTGTTACTACACCATTAACCAGGTGTTACTACACCATTAACCAGGTGTTAAGACCATTAACCAGCCATTAACATTCCACCTGAACAGTCAGGTGTTCAGGTTCATTGTACCTGGAGAGGTCTCACTCGGGTTGGGTCAAAACCCGAGTCCAAGTCCAAAATGGATTTTCTAGTTGGGCCTAAAATTGCAAATAAAATTGCAGCAAAAAGATATATGCGGCCGCCCAAGTCCAGCCCAAAGTTCAATTGCCAAGAACCAAGGACCAAGTCCCAAGTCTCA